GCATAAATTATAGTTATTTTAACTTCTATGCAAGAAAATGATTTTAAAAAAAATTCCACTTCACTGCAAGCATCCATTCACATTTTTCCTTGTTTCCACATACACTTTGACAGTGTTGTGGAGTTTGTATTGTGCTTTTTCTGTAGGATGTTTACTTACTGAAAAATCTCTGCTTCCAATATCCTCAGTAATGCCAATATATGCCATATAAACCCTTTCACCTGTCCTTAATGTAGCCTGTTATACCACATTCTATGCCAAACATACACCATCCAAAGGGCAATTTTCTTTGCTTTAAAGTTATATGAGGGGTTAGAATTATAACAAGCATCATGACCTTCAACAACTTATTATTGTGCTTCTTCACTAACCATGACATATGCATGCAGCAATAAATGACTTAGTTAGTTTCAGTTGGGATCTCTGAAAAATATTATGAACTTTTTTTTTCCTGATGAAACCTTATAAGAACCACAGATAAATTTATACATCTTTATTTTATACAGAGTGCACTAAATCCTAACCTTATTTCTTTATTACATGTATTGAGAACATTAACATATCAACTTCCTAAAATAAGATGCTGTCAAAGGAAATATAAAATATGCTGTGCTAGAAGCACCAGCTGATAATCACAGTGATTTAGAGATAACTATCTTCTTGAAAATGGCCAGATGATAAGGAAGAGCAACAGATGGCACTTTGAAAACCACCACAGATGTATTTACTGTGAAACACATCAAGTTTACATCATCTTAGATCATGATCCTAGGGTTTGTAAATAATAAAGGTCATGTCATGCTGCACTTTGCTTCTTCTCACTGGGTCTCCTCTCAATATTACTGCTTGATATCAAAATACTAGGTAGGATGACCAAGTCCTGGATCAAGGGTGTGGTCATATGGGTTCCAATATGACTTTGCTCCTTCCTACATGGTCCATGTGACTCTGGACTAGCTAGCCAAAAATTTTCATGTCATCTTCAACATTTTTTTTTGTATTTTAAGCTTTAATTGATAGTTAAATTACATATGAAATGTGTTTATTCATCAAAATATATCCCATCATATTCTATTGTCTTTTGCCATGGTTGTGCCAGAGGCTCAATTCCATGTTTATACCATTGGTTGGTTTAGAGGCAAATAACTCCTTGCACCTGTTTTCTACCTCATCCACATTGTTGAACTTCTATCTATTCAGGAAATGAGCTATGACTTGGAAAATGTGGTAATCTGATTGTTCAAGAACTGGACTGTAGGCAGATTGAGGTAGCTCTTACAGTACCTTAAGTTACTCAAATTTGCACTTTGTCACATACATATAATAAATTTGAATGTCAATGTGTAACTGTGTTACATTTTTCAACTTTACTATTCGATGCCGTAGCCCAACATATTGAAAGTTGTAGTCTCGGAGTGCTGGTTAATGCTGTGGCATGTGCTATATTAAGGAAAAAATATTTTGACAATGAAAAATAAAATAAAACAAGAGGTTTGTGGGGTTAATCTTCAACTGGCTTACATAGCTCTTGGTCCAACAAAAATTCACCCTTCCCACATCAATCTTTGTAGTGACACTGGGCTTTATCTAAACTTCTGGAGGAGCTAAGTTCAAATTTTAGAATCAGAAATCTGGTGGCAGCTGACATGGATTTCAAAAGCACTTGATGCAGGTTCTCAACCCAAAGTCTAATCTGCTTATGTTCACTTCAGCCCAAAACTGGTGTGGTACCAAAAGGTTCTGGGGATTTGGTGAGTCACATATTTTCATTAATTCCAATAAAGGTTTTCTTTGTTCCCTATTTCTGCTTTCTCAATCAACTTTACAAATTTGGAGAATTATCCATCTTCCTTGGGAAGATTGCTCCTCGCTTAACTTCAACCTGCTTTACCACTACTCCACACTGGCAGGGTTAAATTCTGCCCCTTCCTTCTCAGTATTCTAGTTCTGCAAACCTCTCAGGACTGGCATAACTGCCTTTGTAATAAATCTATTTTTTAAAGTGCATAAGAGCATGGTTTATTCACCTCATTAATTTCAATTCCCCTTTCTAGGACCCACTCGTCCAGTGAAAACACAAACAAGATCATCTTCTCATTTTAACCTTCTGAGCAATAGATAAAAATTATTTCCTAATTTGTCTTTGTCAATGGAAGTATATTCATTTACCTCAATTCTCAACAAAAGACACACTGCATTCCACCATTGGGCTGGTCGCTGTCTTAGTGAAAACATAAACCAGGTCACCTGCCTGTTATGATGGATCAATTTTCATAATCCTAACCCTTGCAGTGGGTTCATTCAGTTTTCATTTCTCAATTTGTTTTTGCTAACAAAAATATAATTCCCATTTGCTTCTCTTTTCACCAATGACATGTGTTTTTATAATTTCCCAATAAAGAGATAAAGCCATTCCCAATTTTCTTTATCCACATGCCAGTTTTTTGATAAAAAAATGTAAACACTTGGTGCATCATTCCAATTCTTAGAAGTGAAGCAACCCAGATTGCCTTTCCTTCATTTCCACATTACCAGGGAAAACGTCTTTCATTCTCTTTATTTTTATCTCCAGTTTATATTTCATTTTGGGCTTAGTCCTTTTTTTGCTTAGAATTAATGTTTAACCAAATCCCAGCCTCAGTGTAATAAATGATTTAGTGATACCAAGTCTTAGAAGAGGTGGATTCATACATTTTGCAAGGGCATTTGTGCATAAGTGAATATAATGCACTCAACTGGAATTGGAACTTGGCTCTCTAATAAGCAATTCTGAGCCATTATACATTAAACCACCTGTACCTGCAAGATTACAGCACTTAGTATTCCCAAGTGGTCACCCTTCCAGATACTGACCTGATTTGACATTGCTTAACCTCAATTATTGTATGGAAACCAGTGTTTCAATGTGATGTGGCCATAGGCCTGCAACCAACAAAAATGTACATGCTATTCCACATTATTCTGAAGTTCAATATCATTGGAACATAATTTCTTGGGTTTCCTTAATCTTTTTTAAAAAATTCTGATGCTTGTTCATTGAAATACCAGTTTTGGCAAATGGATCAGGCTGAGAACCTTTCAGTATTTTTGTTATATAGATAAAAGTTACAGCCCTAATGGTTTTTCATCTAAAATAGCAGATTAGATATATTTTTTAAAAAGTCAATATTTTCATGAGTACTCAAAGAAAAATAGTTTTGTAATAATCAAAATTATTTTAAAACCTTAAGCTACTAACCTAGAAAGTATTTTAATCATTGTGATTATTTAAAGGAATTAAATTTTCTCATGGCAAACATCAGTAAAAATGTAATCTGTTTATTCTGTTATCCCATTAACTGACTAGATAGAAATTCAACTATTTTTGTTCCAAAGTTGAATCTGTACCTACACAGACTGGTCTGTTCCATCAAGAAATTCTTTACCAGTACTTTTTAAGGCTGAAAATCATTGCTCCTGACCTAAGTAAAATCATTTTGACAACCACTGTTCCGAAACATTTAATCAATTTCTTAAGAGATAAGTTTTGAGTTTATATAGGCACATTAATCACAAATTCTAACCAATAAACATATCCATAAATTCTGTCCATTTTCCTTATATAGACCCTTGACAGATGACTTCTTTGAGAACCTACACAAAGAAGTATACATCTATTATTATGTATATAGTTCAACACTGATAGTGACTTTTTCATAAAGTAATGTTTCAGATCTTAATTTATGCAATATAATCAGGATCATAATTATATATGACTGCTTTTTTGTGGGGGTGCAGAAGAAATACTGATAGAATAGTTGTAGGAAATAGTAAACTTTTATATGTCTATAGAGTGATACGTCTGTAAGTCAATAAAGTGCAGTGTTAGCAAAATGTTGCAGCCATAATAAAATTGCATAGATATCTATTATAAGGAATTGCCAGCAGAAATATTAATAAAAAAAAACTGACAAGTAATTTATTTTGCACCTATTTTAATTATTGGCATACCTTTGTTTGTTAAAGATATTTGGTGTATGTTAATGAAGAAATGCAAGACTTATTGGAAAGCATCCAGTTATATAATATTAACAGCAAAGAAAGATCTGCCTTGGGCAATGACACCATAATCCTCTTGAGATGTCACACACTTGTCTCAGTATTGCTTTCATTTTTCAACATAGCTTGCTGAGTCCTTTTCTAGAATTGTTGTCAGCTGCATTGTTACATTCTTTTTCAGCTCATCTATGGCATTTCAACAGTGGTATTAATTTGAGGAAAGGTCAGATGGCACAATAAGCCAAACTTAGACTTAGGTGATGTGATATTCTGCTTAAGGTTCTGTACAAAATATGAAAAATCTACACACCCAGTGAGGTTAGTTGATTTTATGATATATCAACCCTTTTTAGGTAATTTTATGTCAAATTATTTATGGTGAACTTAGTGAGGATTGAACTCACTACTTGGTAGTAATGGTCAAGCAGACTAACTTAGCTCACCATCACTCCATGCTTCAAAAATCTTCTGTAGTTGGTTGGCAAGTTGCATCAAAGCCATGCAATTGGTTATTGAGATATTCAAAATGGCTGGATACTTTCCAGACAGAACTTACATGCAGCAACTCTGAAAATGGAAATTAGGAATAGATTTCAGTATTGCTTAATGTCCCCTCCAGACTAATGCATCGTATAAGGCATGAATCCACTTCCCTCTCTATGGCTTGTCCTGCTGCTAATAATCTTTGCAATGATGTACAAAAAGAGGAGAGAGAAAAAAAGAGAATGATATATTTTTCAGTCATCTTCCTTGATGAAATCTAATTTCATATAGAAAAAGAGGAAAATTGATTTGTTATTTATTCAAGAAAATCCCTAAGAGAGAAAACAAGTTTTGGTTAGAAATCAGCTTTTATTGTTTACTTTTGAATCCCTCTATTATCATCAAATGTAATTGACATTATCAGCAATATAATAGACTACAAGTACAAAATACTTACAAAAAGCATTTTCTTCTTTCAGTATAAAGAATTTGAAGAAGTTGTTGTTGAAGATCGCATTCAGAAAGAAATTCAAAGACGGAAAGCTGAAGAGGAAGAAATGCATTTGAGGGCATCTGTAAAGGTGAGTAACTTAAAAGAATATAGAATCACATGGCAAGTCTGATAGATTCTAATTGGTTAAGATTTTGATATAATTTACCATAAACACATAATAAAAAAAAATTAACTATGATGTTTTAATACTTTTGTTTTTTTTTCAGTTTTCCTCATTCAGCTCAGAGTGACTTTCTTAGCCAAATAAAAAGTTGTTGTTCTTTAAGTTTAATTAACAATTCAAAGTTTTTTTTTCCTTCATACTATATCTATTTTAAGTTTTGCAGTTGTTCTACTTTCTCTGGAAGCAATCAGAAACTTAACAAAAATAGAATGTTCTATTAACTAATTGTTGTTTTTCTTTAACTTCTGATGAACAAAAATGAGAAACACATCTTACATAGTACTGTTTAGTAATTTTTTTGCTGAAAAAAGAAAAGACATTACATATATGGGTGTAAGGTTATCATTTCTGAATGAATTTTTATCTTCCAACAACATGCATTCTAATAGTATATAGGTATAATTGATTTGGGTGTATATTGACTTTGTGCAATGATTAAAAGATAATGCACAGTCTGTTGATAAATACAAAATAAATCTTTATGTATACAATATAATAATACAGATGGATAAGGTGAAATTTGAAGTTTCAAGAGTTAAGTGTAAAAGTCCTGGCACATACGAGAGACAGAGAAAGAGTTGTTATAAAATAAAATAAGATATATCTCGGCTGATTTACAGGCAAATACTCAAGAGTGAGAACCGGATGTAAACGGGACAAAGCCCCGTCACAAAATGACCATTATCTTTCTTTACAAATGTTCCCGACACATGTGTTCCGGTTGAAAAATAAAATAATATTTAAAGTGCTCTATTTTTCGTCCAATAAAAATGCTTCCCTCCTAATTATACTCGCTTCGTTTTTCGAGCCTGTTAAGCCATAAAAATTGCTATAAAAGGGGTCACACGGAAGTTCAACAGTCAGTCCAAAGGTGGCCGCAAAACAGACCGTCATGGTCAGGCCGAGCGATCAGCAGCAGGAGAGCATCAAACACCGTCAACATGTGTGAACTACTATGAGAGATTGACCTGGATCCGAAAGTCGGCTTATGAACTTTACCACAAGGTAGCTGTCCCAAACCCACATGTTCCTGTTGAAATAAACCACGTAAATCTATTTCTGCTGTTGTCGTATTTCTTTCTTGCAACCATACGCTTGGCTATAACACTGGTGTTAGAAGCGTACAGCAAGAGAAATATGGCCGACTACACGAGCTTCCCCCGAGCCAAACTATTTACTCTCATCAAGGAACAGAAAACACTACTATTCAACTTGAAAACGGGACCAACACAGCCTTCCGAAGCCACGATACAGGAAATTCAAGCCGACAAACGACATGCTGACTGCCCTAAAATCAACTACTTCAACACCTCTCACCGCTCAAACAAACGGCGATTACAGCTTAATGATGCGCCAACATATTGAAGCTAGAGAGAACTTTTCACCCTGGACACGACGTGAACCGATTCATCACAGCCCTAAACAAAGCATACACAATCCACGTCACGCCAGAGCTCAGCACCTATCCCAGCCTGGAATGCGAATTCGTCAAGTCTGCTAAGAATTTACTTGACCAAAGTATCTTTCAGCAGATGGTTGACTCAAAAAAGGACATATCCACCTTCAAACAACTGAAGGAATACTTATTAGGAGCCCACGGAAGCCAGATGACTAACTTCCAACACCTCAGTCAAGCCTGGGACCTGGAACGGCAAGACGGCAAAAAATTAACAGACTTCGCGGGTCGACTCGAAAACACCCTTAGAGAGGCAGCTGTCCACATAAAAAACAAATACAAAAAAGACAAAAATACAGACTTAACAGTCGATGGACTTATTTCCATCATCGGCGCTATGCTAATGAGCGAAAAGGTGAAAATTTGGAACTCAAATCTTTACCCACATCTTGTCAAGACAATGGACAACCAGTATTCAGCCATTGGCATAGCCTCCGAAGCCCAAATATACCTTGATCGCGGTATAAGATCCAACGACTCAACTTCTCACAACACTGTGTTTTTCACACAGAAACCGCAGTGGTCAAACCAAAGAAACACGCCACTCCGACCCAGCAGGCAACCAAACCCACAGCAGACGGGCCTCACCAACCCTCCCGAACATGGCCACCATCCGTCACGCAGAAACCATCAGCACACACCCCAAATCAGCGTGTGCAAGAACTACCTCAGAGGTCGCCCCTGCCTCCATGGACGCAACTGCCTATATCGCCACCCATATCGCACTCAGGCACAGGCCCATATCGTCGCAACGAATGACAATATACAAGCCATAAATGATGTGGAACAGGATTTTCGCTACGGGCAGGACAAGATGTGATGCCTCATTCGCCATGCCCCTACGTCAGCCATCACACCTTCAACTTTCAAGGACTCGCTCATCATTCACCGCTCGTCCAGTCCACCTTCAACTTCAGGGACATCATCTTTTCTGGCGTTGCAATGCTAGACTCTGGATGCTCCACCTGCATCGTACCAATATCTCAGTTACCCAGAGAAGCCAAGAAACTCATGACCCGCTCCGACGTCGTAGTAAAAGGAATCAACAGCAGCACCACCGCCCTCGGCGAACTGACTTGCAACATCACCATCGGCTGTCGAGACTCACCCACATTCAAAAAGGTTAACGTGCTGGTAACTACCCAAACCACACCAATCCTGATCGGCCAAAATATCCTACGTCACAACACGCTCGATTCCTATCTAATTGACAACCAAAATGCGACTATAGAATTCAGACGCACACTTTCCTCAGGATACACAACACACACAGCCGCAATCATATCACCGTCATCGTCAACCAACGATCCAGCATGTGGCGCCCAAGCTGACATCATCCAAAACCAGCCCACTATGGAACTACAGCCCAACATCCAGACACTGGATCAAAAGCTAACCTGGCTAAAACATAAGACGGGACTATCGCTACCAAACCACCTGAACCGAGACAAACTAGAGGCCACTGCAAACTTACTCATTCGCTACGCTGACATTATCGGCACCGAAAGCAGCAGCAAAGGCACATTCATCTGACCCATCCGCATACCAACCAACAGCCAGTCTCGTAGCCAGAAACAACACCCGATAGCCCAGCCTTTGGAAGCAGACGTAGATACCGAAATTAAGCGTATGGCTGATGAAGGTATCATTCAAAACTGCAGCGACCCCAAAGGCTTCAATAGCCCTGTATTTGCCGTACGCAAGAAAAACGGATCGATTCGCGTCGTTGCTAACTTTAAAAGAACTCTCAACAAGGTCTTAGTCAATCTTGACCCTTACCCAATGCCAAGGATCGACCACTTGTTCAACAAAATCGACAAAGGCAATAGATATTTTACTACCCTTGATATACGCAGCGGCTACTGGCAAATTGAGATCAACAAGTGAGACCAATACAAAACAGCATTTACATGGAAGGACCAATGCTATCAATACACGCGCCTGGCCTTTGGCCTTACATCTGCCAGACAAATCTTCTCCCGTTGCATAGCAGAATCCCTAGCCACGGTCACATCCTGTGACAACATTTCTTCCTATATCGACGACAACCTGGTCCATGCTAGGACATTTAGGGAGTACATACTCTCCCTCAAACAATTTTTTACTGCCCTCCGAAAATTCGGACTCAAGCTGAATCCTGATAAATGTTCCTTCCTCGCATCAGAGGCAAAATTCCTCGGACGCATAGTAAACAGCAAAGGATTCAAGGCTGATCCAGAATACATTCGTGCCATCAGGGAAATGAAACCTCCAACATCAAAAAAGGAATTACAAAGCCTTATTGGCCATTTAGTGTGGATCAGACAATTCCTAGAGACACATCTTCACGAACAAATCAGGTGAGATATGTTTTCAAAACTTATGGATCCCATACACGAACTCAACAAGGTTAATAAACCATTTGTCTGGACGCAAAATGCCGACAGAGCCTTAAAAAAAATCAAGGACCGTCTCTCTTCGCCGCCCGTCATCTCGTTTCCAGATTTCTCCAAACTTTTCACACTCACCACCGACGCCAGTGACGTCGCATGTGGAGCAATCTTAATGCAAGAAGCCGACAACGGGAAGAAAGACATCATAGCGGTCGCTTCCCATACATTCAACTCCACGAAACAGAACTGGTCCATGACGGAAAAGTGGGCAATATTGAAATTTGATTATTTCCTTCGCAACCACCCCTTCGTCATCTTCACTGACCACAGATCGCTGACATATCCAACGAGAGTTCAATAATGCCAAAATACGACGATGGCAAGAAGAAATTTCATGTTATAAATTCGTCTTGGAATATGTTGAAGGGGAATCAAATGTATGGGCTGACATGCTCAGCAGAAGCTGCGGACATAAGAAAACGAAAGCCCCGAACGACCCTACACCGGCAGGCAGGACATTCGAGGTAAGTTGTTCAGACCTCCGTGTATACATCCCATCTTGGTGCCTCGGCGAGTTTAACGGTTTACAGCTCATTCCCAAAACTCACACACCACAAAATGCCCGCACCCACAAGCGTGTCACCAACGCATTCTTCGCCTATCACTCCACCGCCACCACTGAGAGAATCTGCAACCACCTCGGCATCACAGATGAACAGCAGAAGGATGATGCCCTGGCAAAGATCATCAGCGCCCTCCAGTCACCCACTCCAAGCGAACCTCATATCGATCCTGACGACCACCGATCTACGCTTTTCAAAAAACATTTCCACCAATTTTTTCTAGAACCAGGCACCTTCGTTTTGATGATAAGAGGCAGTAAACACTCTCCAAGATTGGTTGTACCATACAAACTACGACCCAGATTCCTCTACCAGGCACACAAGGGCAACAACCACTCAGGTGTCACCCATTGATGCGAGAACTCCTTTCCAGCTACTGGTGGAATTCAAAAATCGCGACATCAAGGCCTATGTCGATTCTTGCGACACGTGTGCTAAGTGCAAGGGCAACTA